GGGACTCCCCGCCCCGGGCCAATCCGAACGCGCGGGAGGCGTGGCAAGGGCCAAGCCGCAGCCAAAGGAAGACCCACCAGCCCAAGGCCATCTGCGGCCACCAGCACGGGCGACCTCCCACCGCGGGGGCGTGGCCAGACACCAGCGCTCCGGGCCTGGGCAGTGGGGGAGACTAGGGGCCCCATTCCCCCCCACAGAGACAAAGAGGGCTTGTGGGGCGGAAGAGCCAAGGCCTTTATTTCCGGTCAACACCCCTCCCCCTCGATTTAAACAGTGATATAAAAACGCATAGAAACAAATCAGGCCATAAGATTACCACCTAACCCTCTCCCGCCCCTACTCCAAATCACCCCCAAATCAGCACACACGATTGATGTTTACTCTGGACTCCTCTTGTTAGCCCCTCTGTCCAGTGCTCTGGTCTTCCCAGAAGCCTTGACCAGCGGTGGGAGAGAGAGATGGACCTTAGAGAACACAGTGTGTGGCAGCTTGGTCCTCTGAAAACAAGTGAGACTAGGGCCACCAGGTTGTCGTGACCTCTTTCCCTTTCAGCCTTCTTCAAGGCCTCCTTTATCCCCCCAGCTAACAATATGGTCAGGCAGTGCCAACTCTGGTCCCTCTGGCCTCTCTCCCCACTCCACAGCTCCTCTGATGCCCGAGTCAAGTCACCACTCTGCTAGGATTCAACAGTTTACTTTGGCAGATGTTCTTGCCCAGGGCCTCCAGACCCCTGCACCTTGGAGTTAGGGGAGAGGCCGGGCCACTATCTCACCCCTCACTCAAGGTGAGCAATCAGCACCATCATGACGACTCCTCCCAGCAGCCCCAGCACCTCCAGAAGTGACTGCAAAGGGGACGCCTCCCTCAACAGCTCCGGCAACACCGACACCGTTGCTACGTAGATAAAACCGCCCGCAGTGAACGGCAGAACCCAGCCGGGGCCAGCACCACCTGCACCTGTGCTGCCCACTGCCCCGCCTTCAGTGAGAAGGGCACAGGCCGTGCCCGCCAGTGCCCCTACTGCGGTCAGGAGCTGTAGACGCATTGCCTGGTGGGGGGGGGAAGAGAGAGGCACTCAGCAACAGCTAAGGATTAGTGGTGGCTTTTGGGACAGCTGCACAGTTGTAGGGTGTATGTGTTTGGACACTAAAAAGCTAGGTAAGTACGGGAGGAGATTTCTACAACACATTTCCTGAAAAACCTTAAGAAATCAAAGAGGTTCTTTCCACAGAACCTTTGGATTGAATAGGATGTGTGTGTTTGTATGTAACACTTTAGTTGCAAACCATGCAGGTAGTTTACAGAGCAAATTTCTAGAAATACTGAGCTAGGCTGGGCATGGTGGCTTGTATTCCTAGCACTGAGAGACTAAGGCAGGAAGATATGAAGTTCAAGACCAATCTTAGCAAGATCCTCTCTCAAAATAAAAAAGTGAAAAGGGGTGGGAATATAGTTCAGTATAAAGACCTTGGGTTCAATCTCTAGTCATGGAAAAAACAAACAAAAAACTGAGCTACAGGACAAAAACACTTCTTCCCCTTCACTTCTAAAGATTTGTTGTCAGTAACAGCACAGCTTGTTTAGAACTGAGAGGCAGTCTTGGGCTTGGGGTAAGTGAGCAGGAATACGTTTTTTCTTTTTTTTTCCTTGCATACCAGGAATTGAATTTAGGACCTTGCCCTTGCTAGACAGGTGTGGCACCACAGAGCTACATCCCGACCCTCGGGAGACATTTCACCAACCTGCTTTTTGCTGCAGCCAGACTGGACCAAGATGGCAAAGTCTCCAACCTCATGGGGTACTTCATGTAGCAGGACAGTCATTGTGGTCAAGATGCCCAGCCCTCGGCCCGCACGGAAGGATGCACCAATGGCCAGACCGTCGGTGAAGTTGTGTGCAAAGTCGGCAGCCAGGTTCAGGTACCCAGACACACGCAGGTCTTGTACAGGAGAGGAGGAAAAAATGAGTAGTGGCTTTGGTCACCACCAGTCCCAGTCCTGGTCAGCCACTGTCACTCTTCCCCTCAGAGACCGCTTCCCGTGCAACCCTCAGTGTCTCCCTGACACCTCCACTGCATTCCCCGTGCCTCACTCACATGATGACCTGGCTCAAGTTTATCACCATCTCTGGCCCTTACCTGAACCTGTTTTCTCTCCTTCAGGGTTCTGAGGTCTCACTGGGCCATCTTTGGTCCTGGTGCTACCTCTTCTCCTCTTCCGCAACCCTCCCGCTTCCTTTTCTTCCTCCTCGGAGCTGGGCTTCTCCCTTGAAGGATGCTCTGAGGGAAGAAAGGAGGTGGTCAGAATGGAGAATAGAAATTTCCTGACATGTCCTCAAAGGGAAGGCTGCTTCACTTGACAGGTGACATAACATGAGGTGATTCTGCAGGGGGCAAGGCAGCTCTCAGGGCAGTTTCTCCTGGGCTCACCCTGTTTTTCATGTCCGTGACTTCTGTGTGTATGACCATGTCCATGCCCATGACTGTGTCCATGTCCTCCTTTCACATGTCTCACAAATTTCTCCACCACCAGGAAGGCGACAATTCCACTGAGAACCCACAGTCCCACAGAGAGAATGGGGCCCTGGCCTGGGAATAGAGGCATTGACACATTAAAGGACATGTAGATCCCAGACTCCTCCTCCTCAAATGCAGGAGATGAAGCACAGGGAAAGACAGAAGTTCCTCAGCACCCTGACCCTGGTAGCCGTGTTTCTTTCTCACCACTGTGTGAGTGTCCATGTCCAGGCTGCTCCAGGGTGTGGTGAGAATGAGGTTCTGCAAGAAGGAGAGAAAAAAGCCAGATGAAGGTGAGGGACTACTACTAGAACAGGCAGTTCCATTCTTCCACTGCCCAATACCTTTACCAATATGGTGGCACCCATGGAGTTGTGAAACCACACAGTGCTGACTACCTCACCCAATGGCTGACCTTCCAGGGGTCACGGAGGAGAAAGGAACCTTTTACTCTCAGAGAATAAAACAATCTAAAGTTTGAACCACAGTCCACAGGTTACTTACCCAAGGCATGAGGGATAAGGTGCAGGAAGGCATCTCCTAGGAGCCCCCCAGAAGCAAAACTAAGCAAGATCTGCAGCAGAGAACGATGTCGGGGTGAGTTTGACTCTACTGGGATAAGGAAGAGGACGAAAAATGGAGCTGCAGAGATCAGAACTGTGGCCCCCAGTGCCTGGTGAAGGAAAGTAAGGAGTGAATGCTGTGGAGTTTCTCAACAGTCCAGAACCAGTTCCTCTCTCCCCCATCCCCTGGGGACTCACATAGGCCCAGAGAGTGACAGTGTCCAGGTCATGCTTGATGCCTAGGGACCCAGGCTCCCCGAAGCCTCCACGGCTGTGTTCATGGCTATGTTCATGTCCATGTCCTCCGCGGTGGAGGCTGTCATGGGAGTGGCCATGGCCATGGTGCAGGTCCTCACGTGAATGTTCATGGTCGTGACCGTGGGTGTGCCCATGCCACATGCTCTCATGAGTGTGGCCATGGCCATGGGCATGGCTGTGTCCATGGTGGAAATCCTCATGGGAGTGCCTGTGGCTGTGGCCATGGAAGTCTTCTTGCACATCCTTATACGAGTCACCATGAGCCCCATGTCCGGCCACCAGCAGCCCCAAGGCTTCCCAGGTCAGCAGTCCCACTGCCACCCAGTGTGGGGCCCGCAGGCCGGGGGCCATCACGCTGACCAGAGGGACAGAGACAATGATTCCACTTGATTCTCAATTCTACCTACGGGGTTTCCACTTTAATCCGGTTGTACCCTCCATCTACTTTTATGGGCAGCTCCCCCCATAACATCCCGTCCCCACCCACATGGTTCCCAAGACCCGTTCTCTTAATCCCGAACTCCTTCCTGAATGCAGCCCCCCACCCCCCCACCGCTCTAGCCTTTAATCCGCCACTTTGTGGACTCTCTGGGCCCTCATCTCTATGACCCATTAGGTAGTGAAAAGGCCTGGAAAACACAGTAGGGAAATGCAGAGAATTCTCACCGGCTCCGGGGTCCTCTCCTTTCCCGGTGTGCACGGACGTGGCAGTCACGCCCCTAGATCCCGCGAGAACAGGAAGTTGCGATCTCCCTCCACCCCAATACTGTACCTTTACCAATATGGCGGCACCCTGGTAGCCGTGAAGCCAGACGGTGGTAGCGCGCGTGCGCGAGGGTGAGGTTATTTGAGGGGAGGGAGGGCGCGCCCCGCTAGCAGGCCGGGGGAGACGGCCTTCTAGGTTTCCAACTAGGAGAGGGGGCGGGAACTAGAGGCGAGACTTCCCGTTTGTGCAAAGATGGCTGCCGCGTCGGCGCTGTCATTTCGGTACCTAGGCCAGCGAAGCGCTTAATTCGACCCGATCCAGGCCAGAGTCTTTTCCTCTAGGCCTGCTTCGTGCTCAGCTAGTCCCCTGGTCGGTCCCTGGGAATCCCTGGCACCCCTCCGGCCCCCCTCCACTCAGCCAGGAGTCATGTCCTGGGCCGCCCGCCCGCCCTTCCTCCCCCAGCGGCATGCCGCAGGGCAGTGTGGGCCGGTGGGGGTGCGAAAAGAAATGCATTGTGGGGTCGCGTCCCGGTGGCG